ATCTGATTCCTATGCATGCCATCAGGTGAAATCCAGGTATATAACCTGCTGATATTAGTATATTGCTTGATAATTTCTGCACTCTGTGCGATTACGTTTTTTTGGAATGGATCAAATGTGGATCTCTTCCAGTGTGGAATTTTTAAGAGTAGTTCTGTGGCTTCTTGCGATCTACTTTGGTAAACACATGAGCACTTTTGCTGAGGATGTGTGTTCTGTAGCTGTTGCATGGTTGATGGTGGTGTTCAGATCTTCTCTATCTGATCTGCCTTCAGGTCTGAGAGAGACATGGCAAACTTTTCATCTGTGATGGTGGCTACCTATCATTGTAGCTCAGTTTTTTCCAATCATCATCAGTATTTCCAAAGCTGAAAAAATTTTCATTTTACTGTTGTTGTTAAGAATTTGTCAAAAAAAACAGACCAACTCCACGGCTTCTACACACACAATTCAGTGACACTGAGATCTCTTCTGGGTCACCTCTGCGTGCCACCCCACCCTCCAGCAACGCAAGCTTGCTGCCCCGAAGGTACCCTCTGGCTTTTGTGAGTTGCTGTTGCCTGTTCGATTTGGTATCGACAGTTCTTCCAAGAGCATAGTGTCCGAGCCACACCCAAACCTTTTCCAAACAGAGACTCTGTCCCTCTCAGGCACCCAGTCCCCACTCCCGCCCTCCCCTCCTGTGGAAGTGGCTCATGTTTCTCCTGTCTGTAAACAGGTGCTGCTCAAGCTACTTCAGAGAAGTGGAAGCACAGGCTCTGGTCCTGGGTCTAAACTGTTACAGTCAGCATATGGTTTTCCATAGTCGTTCATGAGGATGGCTCAGGTCAGCTTTGCTCCTGTGCCTAATTTGATCCGATTTTGCCTTCTGTGTTTGAAGCTCTGTCGCGGCTGTTGTTTTGAACTCCCGAGCTGGAACTGCCCCAGAGCTGACCCTCCAGCAAGTTTTCAGAGATAATCATTACAGAGGAGACTTCCTGTCCTTCTCCCACAGAGCAGCTGTGGATTCGAACCTTGTACCTTTAGGATTGCAGCCTAGCTTCTTAGCAGTAGGCCACAAGCACTCCCCTGAAGTAATGTTCTTGGGTACACGTGCACGTAGTCTGACAGGTCCTGTGATGGTTGGCACGGCCTCTGGGCCTCTCCTAACACTCTTGCCTGGGGCGGATTTAATGGCCATTCACCATCTGCACCCCTTAGTTCATGCCCATTTGGCCAGCTGTTTCCAGTTCCTTTCCACACCTCTGAGTCTACACTGAGTCTGCATGTGTGCTTGGGCGCCCATATCCAGCCTGGATGTATCTGTCATGGCCCTGTTCTTAGCTAATAAACAGCCGACCTCCGTTCAAGTTCTGATTACACCTCCCTGCTGAGATCAGGCCTCACCTTTGGCCACCTCCGCAGGGTCCCCAGGGCAGGATTTGTTCTGTATGTCATTCAGCTCAGAACAACATCAACTGCTCCAGGGCAAAGGAAGGAGTATCTGTCCCTGGCATAAGTTCTATAATCATTGTTATTGTTAAGTTCCATTAAGTTGAGTAGGACTCTTAGTGTCCCTGTGAACAATGGATCAGAACCCCTCACTTTCCTGTGCCGTCTACCACCTGGGAGCCCATTGCTGCAGTCGGAACCCCGTGCTTTCCTGTGCCATCTACCACCTCGAAGTCCACTGCTACAGTCACTGTGTCAATCCATCTTTTGTCGACCCTCCACCTTTCAAAGCATAATGTCCCTCTCTAAGGAACAGCCTCTTCTAGCAACTTGCCCAAAGTATGTGAGGTGAAGCTTTATCATCTTTGCCTCTAGGAGCACTCTGTTATGTGCCATTGAGTTGTCTGTGAGCCTTAGCAACCCTACGTGCAACAGCTCTGAAGCTCACCCTGTCCTGAGCCAGTCTCAGCGACCCCCCCACATCTGCTTCCATTGCCCCAGTCACTGTATCAATTCATCTCATCTGGAGTCTTCCTCTTCTGTGCCGTTCTTCCACCCTTCGTAGCATGATGTCCTTCTCCAAGGACCAGTCCCTCCTGGCCATGTGCTCAAAGTATGTGAGACGGAGCTTCAAAATCCTAGCCTCCAAGGGGAAACTTGGTTAAACCATCTTCAAGACAGACCTATTTTGTTTTCTTGACAGTCCAGGATATGTTCAAGATCTTCTCCAATAACTCTTCTTTACTGACTCTGGCTGTACTTTCTCCAAAACATTTGTTCTCTGTTCAGTCTGTTCTTTTGGCAGTCCATTGGATGTTTAGTACTCTTTTCCAACAGCAAACAAAGCTCTGTCATCCAACTTTCAGATGCATAGAAAGTGATTGAAAAGACCATGGCCCAAATCAGGCACACTGTAGTCTTCAGTCTGATCCCACTGCTCCTCAGTAATATGGAGAGGTCCCTGACAGCAGCACTTCAAGTCCTCAGTTTCAGCAAACAAGGTTGTGTCCTGCATGACATGGTTGTTGAGAGTCTTCCTCTTGTCCTGATGTCACATTCTTCTTCATAAAGTCCAGCTTCTCAAAAAAAAAAGAAAAGGAAAAAAAAAAAAGTCCAGCTTCTCAAATAATCTCAGCATACAGACTGAACTTGTGTGGCGAGAGGAGACAGCCCTGGGGCACACTTTTCTTGATTTTAAACCAGGCAGTGTTCCCTTCCTCTGTTCAGACAACAGCCTTTCCTTTCAGCCAGGATCTACCTGACAGCAGCAGTGCTATTTCTGGTGGCATAACCTCTTCTAAATCTTGCACTTCTGACAGTTGTCTTTCTATGCATAGTTCTTTTTTTTTAACAAAAAATTGTATTTATTTACATTCCATATATATCCAAAAGGATGAAAAAAGTGATGAAAATACATTTTTAAAGAGGAGTAGTCTTGGTTTACTTAACCCA